TCTGTTTCCTGTGGCTTCTAACACGTATGGGCTATAGGAAAAAAGGGGCCCGCTCCTTCCAAGCCCTGAGCTGTGGGCGCCCATACCCAGCACCATCAGTTTTACTCCTCCCATGCCAGGGAACAGGTGCCCGAGAGCAGACAGCAGGGCACACCGCAGCTACTGCACTGACACCCTGTCTCCTCGCCCATCCCGGGACACTCTACTGCGCTAGCTGGACCATCCCCATCCAAAGAGACAGAGGGAGACGCTAAATATTTCACAACTCATTTCATGATACCACGACTGAAAACATACAGGAAAGGAAAACAAATATATAAATGCATTATCAACAAATGCTTCATGGCTCATGAAGGTGTTTTTTAAGAGTTTCAGGTTTTGAATACGTTAATTGTTTCTATCACTTCGTGCAAAAGTAGAAGAGTTGGAACACTCTGCCAGCAGAAGCTATCAATCAGTCAATTCAATTGCAGGTTGTGGTCCAATCACTCTTTATTATAATACACATAATACCCAGCTAATGGAGCCTTTCCAGAGCCCCACATACAAACCCTCTTTACACTGTCGTGATCAGACATCAATCAAGGGCTACTTTGTGTATTAGGTCATTGATGTGACAGAAAGAACTCAGCGAGGAGAGGCTTGTTTGGTCTCATAGTTCAGAAGAGACCATCCATCACGGCAGGGACACACTGAAATGGGGGTGGCTCTTCTCTGCAACAGGGAAGCACGGAGCTGCTGGTCACCTTACTGCATCAGGCAGGAAGACGCCAGGAACAGAAATGAGGACAGACAAAAACCCTCAAGACCTGTCCCCAGTGACCTCCTCCCTCCAGTGAGGCTCTACCAGGTAAAAATTCACAACCACCCCCAAAAGAATGTTACCAAATGTTACACTGGGACCAAATGTTACACACAGACAAACCTCCAAGGACATGAGATTTTGCTTCCTGGGGAAGAGTAGGACAAAAGTCTCTGGGAAACTGGCAACCAGAGGAACTTAAAACAAATCTGTGAGAGCAGGCTTGGAGGTACAGAGATAGAACTCATATAGATAGATATATAGATATAGATATAGATGTAGATATAGATATAGACGTAGATACAGCCCTAAGTCACGCTGCTTCATACAGTCCAGCAGAGGACTTGGAGATACAGTCTAGTATGGATGCATCCTGGGGTGGCCCCACTGTTCAGTCACCATGGGGTGCATTAGCACAAGCCTAGTGCCACAGCCAGCCACACCCTCATCTCCACAGTGCATTTTGCACCACACCCCTCAACCTCTCTATGAAATGCAGCCTACAGCATCCCTTGGCTTTGCTGTCCAGTTTGCTACACCCCTCCGCTCCATGGTGCAGACTCCATGGTGCATTCTGCCGTGTTCCTCAGCCCCATACTGAAGCCTGCAGAGCCCTCTTGGCTCCATGGTGGGGCCTTGCACTCCGCTCTGCTCCCTGCTGCGGCCTGCCGCATCACTCAGCTCCAGGGTGCACACCTGAACAGCACGCCACTATGCTAACCACTGTGTGCAACTTGATAAATATATATATATATATATATATATATATGTAGCCAATTGTAACACAATGCAAGAATTTGCACACCTGAATATATCTAAACATAGAAACAGTATTATAAAACCACAACGTTGATTCAGGTTTTTCCTAAGGCGTAGTGGAGGATGGAGAAACTGCTCAACAGTTAAGAGCTTTAGTGGCCTTGTGGAGGATCCAAGTTCAGTTCCCAGCAAAGCTCTGACCTCCATACACTCGCATATACACACACACACACACACACACACACATGAACACACACACACATGAACACACACACACACACATGAATACACACACTTATTGGGGGGGAAGTAAGATCCTGAGATTTTTGCTCCCCCCTTCTCACAGCCTCTCCTTGCTCATTTGGGAAGCAAAGTAACAGACATGGTTACAGCGGGCATAAGTCAGGGGCTGACAGAATACGTTGTGGAGATAAATCAGGAAGAGCAACATGGAGGATCCTTGTGGGCAATCTCTTCCTCCCTTTGGCCTGTCCTAGAGCTCTCCTCTGTACCCCAGGCTCCGAGCAGTGGTCTCTCCCGAGGTCTCATTCTCACTCCCAGCCCCCACAGTCACGGGGTGAGCATTAATACAATGAAGCCAGAGTGTCTTTTGGAAAAAGACCCTAAACAAACATCGAAAGTATTATTCTTTCTTCCCCAAGCCTTCCCAGCTGTTGGCAAAGATGAAAGAAATATGAACTTGGCTTTCCTGGAGAGGGAGAGATGGAATCAGAATCCTTAGGGGGGTTCCCAGGAGGCATCGCCGAGTAAACTCGCTGTGATTTTGATTAGATAAAGCATGGAACTTTCTATTCTCTGCCAACCACATCTTTCTCTGGAGCCCACAGCAAAAGTAGAAAGAAAGAGAAAAAGAAACAGACTCTGGGGGACATATTGCCATCCTGTGGCTTTCCTGTGTGTGCACAGGGATACACAATTGTTGCACAGCCTTCCCCGAGATAAAGACAAAGTATGCTGTTGTCTATACACAAAAAGAAAGAAAGTTCATACAGGGCGTGTGGACAATCACAACAGTTCTTCCAGGGTTTTTACGAACTCTGGAGATACCAGGTGAGAAATGAAGTATATTCCTGGATCTTTCAACAAATCTCATTACAGTAGGGACCCTCGGTGTCAGCTGAGGTCCCACTGACCCCCCCATCATCTATGAGAATTCACAGATCCCTGCATTAGTTACTGTTCTTGCTACTCTGTTCTAACAGAAGAAACTCAAGAAAGAAAGGGTTTATTTGAGGGATTGCAGTTCACTGTGGTAGTGGTGGTGGTAGTCCATGGCATATGGCAAGGGGTTACTAAGAGTGGGTCTTTGAAAGATACGCCCGCTTTGGGATTTGGTCTGTTTTCTCTGCCTTCTGGTCAGCCATGATGCAAGACCCTGTACCATATGCTCCTGCTGCCATGGACGGTACAGCCACTACTGTGATGAACTCCAGGGTAGCAGAATAAACAGATGCTGGGCCATGAGCTGCCCCGAGTGCTTCCTCCTCACCTCCTCTAATTGGTGATAGTGTGGGTACCAAGACATCTCAATCCTTCCTGAAGCATTTACTGAATATTCAGTGACCAGATACACACTTCACAAGGCAGCTGGGCAGGCCTGAGGCTCGGGCAGGATAAGAGTGCTGTGTGACTTACTGTGGACCAACTAACTGTCCTCTCTGTATGCTCCAAGGTCCCAGAGAGCTGCCCTCACAAGACCCCAGCCTCTGCCCCAGGGTCTGCCCCTCCATGAAAGAACCCCTACAGCCACAACTCCTCCATTCTCAGTTCCCGAGTCTTCTAGAAGCTGTAGAAAACGCACAGTGCGAGGTCCACTCCAGAAGCTCTGAAGGAAGGCGCCCTTGCTTTCTGACTTCTCTGACAAGAGCATCATAATTTCATTCCCAAAGGGTGGCAGGAATATTTAAAGAAGGGGAAAGAAGTGAGGCCTTGGCTAGAAAAAGACCAGTGGGAGAACCAAGTCCAGAAAGGCCTTGTGGGGTAGAGGGTGTGCATGGCTTCTGTCCATGGAATGTAGCACTGTGGGAGCTATGACCTAAAGGAGGAGGGACTAAGACTCAGCCTTTGACAATGAAAACAAACCCCTGCAATATTGCAATATCTCACAAGCATCAAAACCAGGGCTGCAATGTTGCAACAGTGGGAGCATCAAAATCAGGGCTGCAGAAGTGGGAATATCAGAACCAGGGCTGCAGGAGTGGGGGCATCAGAATCAGGGCTGTCTTTCACAGACACAAAGTACCAATGAGCCCAGACCCAGGAAAAGCTGGCTTCTCTTCTACCCACGGTGTAGCATGGACCCCAGGGGCTACCACGGAAGGTACTTCTGCCTCATAGCTTCTGCTCCCTCTGACCCTCATCCTTCACCCAGCACTGTGTTAAATCTGACGGCCTGCGGATGGAGGCAGAGGAGAACCTGAGAAACCCCGCCTTCATCCTCAAGTCCTCTCACCCCCTGAGGAGCAGCTCAGAGGCACACACAGTCAGGACACTGTGCACCTCTGTTCCTGGGAGGAACTGTCCCTCACAGATTCCAACATGGTCCCGATTCCAATGGCTCAAGGCACAGTCGATGGAGTAACAGAAACAGGCCAAGTGGCCGCAGCCTACGCATTGAGCTAACACTTCCGGAGAATCCTCAGCTCTGTATTACACTTCTCAGCCAGTCCTGAACCCTAAAGCAGGCCACCAACTGGAGTATCTGTCAACCCCACGGTTGTCTGGAGGATCGTTAAGTTAGTTTAAGCCCTCTCCCTTACCACCACCACCCCACACACATAAAACAGAGTTGTTTAGGCTCTTTTCAAATCACCCACCCCTAAAACCTCCCCTTCTCCATCCATCTGTGCCCAGTCATAACCCCTCTTTCTGGCTCAACTCCTGTTTGGCTCCTCATTGGCCTCTCTCTGACCGGCCCCACTCTCTCTTGGCCTCATATTATAACTTGTCCTTCTTCTCTTGGATATTTTGACCATGAGGGGTTTCATTGGCACTGTCTGCCATCTCCTAAATGCATCTCTAGCTCATCCTAGAGAGCATGAAGCCAGAAGATCCCATAACGATGCCATCACTAACATCCAGCACCTTTTCCCCCAACATCCCCGCTGTCCCCATGGGTGCCCAGTTGGTATAGTTCATGGATCTGTACGTCACTGGCAGGCAGGTGATGAGTTAGTTTGTTTCCTACAGAGCAGATCCTCACCTGTTCCTGGCCAATCAGAAAGTTCAGCCTACCATCGAGTGGTTGAAATCCCTAAACCAACAGGGTGGCAGGCTAGCCGGCTGTCCCAGAGCAGAAACTCCCTAAAGAGTCAACCACACAGCTCCCAGAGCGAAGGAGGCAGAATCAGAGAAGGGGAGGAAGGAAGACAGGTGTCAGGGAGAAAGACGAAATGTCTACAAACAGATGCGAACTCACCCTTATCGTAATCACCAGCCTCAATCGCTTTTTCTTGAAGTGTCTGAAGCTTTAAACTTAAGGAAGTGACCTGTGTTGGTTTGAAGGGGAAACATGAGACATAAATTACACATAAGAAATTACACAGAAGAGATAAATTACGAATAAATTCCAGTACATTCATCTTGTGAAATCTAGGAGCGCATAAGAGCTATTCAAAACTGGGCTGTCCTGATGGCTTGAGGGTGAAGGCCCTGGCTTCAGCCTGAGGAAGTTGATCCTCAAGACCTACACAGTGGAAATGGAGACCCGACTTCCACAAGTTCTTCTCTAACCTCTATGAAAGTACCATGACGCCCACATGCACATAAATAGAAAATCTAATAAGGAAATTAAAATCCTGAAAAGCAGTACCATTTTTAGAAGGAAAACTATTCTAAAAGTAAACTTCTATTCAAACTATTTTTTTAAAAACCACATAAATACAAAGTTTTCCAATGCCAAATGTGTGTTTCTTTTTTAAAAAACAAAAGTTACTTGAACAAAAATTATAATTTAAACATGATTCCCCAGAAATACTTAGAATGCTACAAATGCCACAAAGCTATGCCATTATCGGCAGGAAGAGCTATGTGGATAGAAGGAACACAGACTAAAGGCCAAATGGCCTCTGTTCTAACCCTCAGAGCATAGCCATGAAGGCAAACATGGAAACTCAAAGAGCAGCTGAGGGGAGCCAGGCATGGACCACAGCGGTCTCCAGGCCATCCCAGGAAGGTCTGCAGCCCTACTTGAAGGTGCTGCCTTGGGCTGGACTTGTAACTCAGTGGTAGGCACCTAGCATGCACAAGGCCCTAGTTCTATCCCCAGCACAGGAAGCATAGAATGAGGAGAAGAAAGGAAGGATGCGGACGTCGAGAACCACCAGTAGCCACGCCTTCCCTCCCAGAACAACTTCCTAAGGGGCTGCGGCTGGTACATGCCCTAAACACTGAAGCTGGGCACTGGAGAGATGGCTCGGTCAGTAAAGCTCTTGCCTTGAAAGTGTAAGACCTGAGCTCAATGCTCAGAACCCACACAAGCATAGTGACGCATGCCTGGGACCCCAGGTCTGGGGAGGAGGAGACAGGAGAATCCCCGAAACTCGCTGACCTACACTCCAGCACGGTGACAGGACCTTAAGATGACACCCAAGGTTGTCCTCCCCAACCTACACACACACACACACACATTGTATGCGTGCATGTAGGCACACATATGCACACACACAAGTACATATTCACACCAAAATAAAACAGTTTCTTTGTAGGAGGGACTCACACAGCCTTTCAGGCAAGTGAAGCAAAGCAGGGGAGGATGGGGCCCATTCCACACTTTGCAAACTTGAGCTGACGGCCTCCCTTACCCTCCCAGAGCCGTACTTTATCACCTCTGTTTACTACGTGGTCAGGGGAGATAACAACCTGAAGGAGTCTGCTCTCCCCTTCCACCCTGCGGGTCCTGGGGGTCAAACTCTGGTTGCCAGGCTTGGCAGCAAGTGCCTTTACCCACCAAGCCATCTTGCCAGCCCCCATTTTCATATTTCACAGCAGAGCTAAACCAAACAAACCGCACTGCAGGTCAGAGGTTGCGGAGAAGCATGGGCCCAATCAGCGAGTCCATGCCAGCACCTAAGCCACACAGACAGAGAACAAAGGGCAGAGCATCCATGCTCAGAGGCAGAGGAGACAGAAGGGCCACCACATCCTTTCAGCCAGCCATCCCAGGAGCCACTGCCGCTTCCAGGAACAGCACTCGATCAGCCGCCCCACCCCCTGCCTCCACCCAGTCCTGAGTCAGAGTACCAGTCTCCTGAAGGACACACACCTCCAGCTGCCTGCAGTTGATCAGTAGATGGTCCTGTAGCCTGGGCTCCCATTCGCTGAGCAAAGCATCCCATCCTCGGGTACCTGCCCAGCCATTGCCCTGGCAGCCCCACCCACCAGCTGAAGATGAAACCTGGGAAGAGAAGCCAGTGTCCAAGGAAGAGACTATGCCACATTCTGGCTTGCTGTCGCTCCCTGTGACCTGATCCAAGTCCACAGAGCCTGGGGTAGCTTGAAGATTGAAGGTCCAGAGACGTCGAGGGTCCTCACGGGATCTGTCTGAGCTGGACGCTTCAGCCGCCATCTCTTGAGGGCTCTGATGAAGGGACTCAGTGTCTCTGGATGGTAGGCAACCTTCTGCTTCTCCACGTTCCCCAGCAACACCGAGGGAGAGTCGGATGAAGCTGAAGCAGGAAGTAAAGGTGTCTTGGGAGCCAGGAAGAGCTGGGATATCAGCCGGGCCATTCAGCTCTGGTGCTGCCAGAGGTTTCACAGTCTCCAGGCCCTTTGATCCCTTGTTCCAGGCTACACCAAGGCTGGAGGCCAGGGACTTAGAGCTGTCCGAAGATAAAATGTCTTGACAACATCCACTGCCCCCAGGCCTACATGGCCTGGTCAGCTTCTCAGGTAGCTTGTTGCCATTTCTGGAATGAACCCCAAAGTACACTGATGTTTCTTTCATAGAGTTCTGGGCTGGGTGCAGGTGACCCACAGAGGCCACAGCGGGGACAAGCGAGCTCTTGAGCAAAGGGCTGCCCACCACCTGACAGCACCCGCTGGGGCTGGGGCCACACTGTCCAGCCTTGGGCTGTGAGTAGTGGGACTCCTGGCCTGTCGGCCCTGATGAGATCTGGCATGGCATGCCCACTGCTGGAGAGGGGAACCCGATCCCAGGGCCGGCTGTGCTTCTCATGTAGCCTGGTCTCCGAGTCAGCCGTCGCCTCGGAGGGGCTGCTTCAGATGGCGAGCCATGCCCACTGTCTGAGAAGAGAAGAGAAAACTACATGTTATTGACTCAGCAGGAACTGCATGTGGAGGACATGCTAGACACACATGTCATCTGTGAGTACACCTGTCAAAGACACAGCATGAAAACTCCTATGGTCCCAATCCAGGCATAGTGGTTCACACCCCTAATACCAGTGTTTGGGACGTGAAGGCAGAAAGATCGGGAAATCAAGGTCGTCCTCACCAGCACGACACCCTACCTTAAAAAAAAAAAAAAATTAAAGGAAGTTGGTGCTCCTCTGCTGATGCCCAGCTCGGTCCAGCATCCCCGCCCTTGGTTGGCAGAGAAGCAGGCCTGCTGTATGTCTAACAGTATGCCAGTGCAGGTCCTGGGGGTACAGCCCATGGTACAACAGCATGTGCATCCCAGAGAGGGCTTGGAAAACCAACCATCCAACTCCAAGACATCATCACAGGACTCCATCGTTCCTTCCCGTCACTAAGGGACGATGCTGGGGTTTTCACCATCCAACTACCCATGCCCCCACTTTCCCCATGCATTCCTGAGGCCTTGGTGGCTGGCTGCGGTACAAGGCTGCCCAATCTTACCTCACACAGAAAACCACTGGGGCAGGGGCCTCCCCTGGCTCCCCTGAAGAAACAGAAACAACAGCAAATGTGAGACCAGACCCAACTGTCTGGTCCAATCTGACCATGCCACCTGCTGACTGCGTGACCTTCCACAAGCTCTTCAAGTCCCCTGTGCCCAGCTTCCTCCTCAGTAAAGGGTGGGGGTACAGAAGGGCCCCTTGTGGAAGGTTTCTGTCGGTATTGGTGTAAACAGTTTAGAACAGGGTCAGAAACACGTGAGCGTGATAAAAATGTTAGTTGCAGGCCTGGGGAGATGGCTCAGCGGGGAAAGCATGCTGTGCAAGCATGAGAACTCGGGTTCAATCCCCAGAACCTGGTGGTCAGGCGTGATGGCACACACTTGAAATCCTGGTGCTGAGGAGGCAGAGAAATGACGATTCATGAAGTTCACTGACCAGCCAGTGTAGCCAAAATGATGAGCTACTGGTCCAATCACAGACTCTGCCTCAAAAATTAAAGATGGGAGTCTGGAGAGCCAGCTCAATGGTTAAGGTTGTAACTAGGTGCCAAGTAAGCTTGCTAGCACCAACTTCAAAAACATGGACTAGAAGAACAGGCTTGCTCAGCCACACGCTATGCCAACAGAAATGCCCACAGCAGGTTTTCTAAGGCCACCATCTTCAATGACATCAACGACAGGCAGTCAGAACAGAGTTCTGTTCCTTGTCACGATGTGACAACATGTTTGGGCCATTAAGGCCCTGAGGTGGCTGATGGGGGCTGGTCATTTGGGCAGTCACCCTCCCAGGATGGGAGCCCCACCAGGGCTATGGAATACAAGAGGGAACAGAGGGAGCCCCAGGAGAACAGCTGTCCCTCCCATCCCCTGTAAAACTGGCAAGAGATTTGCTAAAGAGCCAGGAATCCAAGTTACAGAGAACACTGAGCTCTGGTTGCAGTGACCAATGGAAAATGTTGACAGCTTCACATCCTGAGCAATGAGCCCTGTGAAACTATATAATCTTCGGGGTTAAAAGACTTCCAATTATTTTGTAAACTAAATACTATCACCTACGTAACTCTCACGTTGTTCAAAGGTCGTGCTAAATAGAGAATAACTTTCCAAATGCCTTGTGTGGTCTTTTCTGTGTTGCCCTCCTGGGGTCCTGAGGCCATAAACATCAGTTGCTCTAGCCAGGGCCGTGCACTCCTGGAGAGCCACAGGCCTACTGCCCACAGGTTAAGGACAGACAGAGAAAAGTGTCTATCTGGCTAGGGGCATGACTTCATGATAACACATCTGCCTATCACGTAAGAGGCCCTGGATTCTAGCTCTGTTAGAAGCCACACACACACACACACACACGTCAAACACAATGGGACACAAGATAGACCTCACTCCTGCAGCTAACTACAGGCTCATATGTCCCATCTCCTGTGGAGGTGACCACAGGTGTTTATTCTAATGCTCAGGTGCTAGACGGTAGAAGATTGGACAGAGGCACTGACATCCAGGCCTGGAAGGAACTTCTGGAATGAGCTAGACGATGCAGAAGAAACCTCTGCAGGGTCCAGATCAGGTTGCTAGGAAGATTTCTAGCCTTCCACAACCAAAGTGTGCAAACCCCACCCCCCACGCTCTCCCCCACACACACACACACAATTTTATTTTTCTTCCTTTTATTTTTTTTATCTTTTTGTTTCTGCTTTTGTTTGTTTCACTTTTTTTTCCCTCAGAGTCTTTGAGGTCCTCTGGGACCACAAATCAGTTCTCACTCATATATCCTTCCTGAAACATGACCTCATGGGTTTGTTCTGGCCGCAGCTGAGGAAGAGCTGCGATATGGCTCAGCTGGAGAAGGTCACACTTCCTCCTCACTGAGCACAGTCAGCTCTGGAAAGAGGCTCAGTCAGACAGGAAGGAAAGCAAGGCAGCACCAGGGTAAGGCCCAAAGTGAGGCGCTGTAGAATGGCCAGGAAACAGATGTGATGGCCCTGCTGTGGAAAAGACAGGGATGACTTCATTCTGCCCAGCTGACCTAGGAATAACTGAGCCAGGAGAGAGGCCTGGAGCAGCCTCCTGCTCCAGAAGATACAGAGGATTCTGGGGAGCAAAGCACAGAACCTCACCTCCCCCACCCAGCCCCATGGCTCTAAGATTGAAGGGAAGGGACAGACAAGTGCTTGAGACCAGTCTAGATGTCAAAGAGCCTCTCTGGCCCAACAAGCCCCTGAAAAGCCTGGCTGGGAAAATGTTGGGAGAGGGAGCTGGGCAATCGGGGGAGGAGGCAGGTTCTCAAGGAGGCCACTTACAATCCAAGAACTAACGCTTCACCCAGAGAGCCTCAAACAGTGGCCGCTGCTCAGTCCAGATGAATCTGAGAGCAGCAGGAGGCTGCGCCTGTGTGACTGAAGCAACATCAGATGCTTTAAACTGGCCACAGAGTTAAAGAGAACACTGGGAGTTGGTCACAATTCCTGGCCTGAAGGAGCTCTGCTCGCAGTGGCAAGCACGGCTGACTATCTTCTTCTCCACCTATCCTGAGTTTGTGGCCACACAGAAAAGCCTTTACCTGACTACAAAATCTAAAACCAATAATGATAGAATTAGATTAATATTTCTTCCTCAGTTGCCCTGAGAAAGGGAACTTCAGCTTGTGCCCAAGGTTCTCATTGTCCTGGCATGAGTGCTGTGTCCACGCTATCTCGACACAAACCCCTGGCACCAGAGCGGAGGGAGATGCTGAGCTTGGTGGAAAGTGGGGGCAGACACATGTGCACTGACTGTCCCTTCAGACACGGATGAAGCGCACTGGACTTTTGGGAAAAGGGGCTGCACATTAAGGCCATGATGAGTTGTTCGGTGAGAACCTCAAAGTGACAAGGAAGACTGAGGCCTAGTCTAGAAGCCTGCTCTTCCCACCTTGCTACCAGTACAGCACGAAGCCACCAGACAGATGACTGAGCAGTGAAGAAGGCACGCTGCAGGCCTGGAGAGATGGCTCGGTGGTCAAGAGCACTGGATGTCCTTCCAGAGGACTCGGGTTCAATCCCCAGCACCCACACAGTAGCTCACGATTGTCTGTAACTCCAGTCCCAAAGGATCCACTGACCTCTTCTAGACTCTGGGACTCATCGGTGCACAACCCCACACACACCGCACATATCCACGTTATTTTAAAAATAATAAAGGTAAATGATATTATAGCACAGAAACACTACAGATAAAATAGCCAGCTTTTCTGCCATCGCCAAACCTGCAAACGAGCACACACGCCCATCCTCACACGAGCACCAGGGAGGGGAAGTGTGATGGCCGCTCTTGGTTGTCAACTTGACTGTACTCGGGAATTAACCAAAACCCACACTTGTGGACACAGCCGTGAAGGGTCTCTCTAATCAATCACCTCCTGGTGGCTCGTTGCCTGCTTGCCCTCGTCACACTACCAGTTCATTCCTTCACGCAATTAGAGCCTATTTCTTCTGGATTCCGACACATGCTGAAGGCCATCTGTAAGACACCCAGCCTTGTGGACTGAACAACTATGGAATTCTTAGACTTTGCATTGGGAGCCAGTCAGGGTTGGGCTGGTCATTCTAATACAGCCCGTTTTATATAGAGAGAATCATTCTATCAGTTCTGTTTCTCTAGAGAACCCTTACTGATATAGTAACCAACGGAAATTTCTAGAATGGAGACAGAAATGAGACTGTCACACTCTCCTCTCTTTGTTCTTAGAAATGACCACCAAAATGTCTAAGAGTAAAATCTAGTTCACTGTTACTCACTAACTCCCAACAGGATATTTTGAAAAATATGAGCTTGGAATTTTGCCTTTCCTATTCCTCTCTGAGGCTTCAAATTATGTTCTCCAGGATATATTCAATAATTTTTATTATGCTAACATATACACACAAAGTTGACCGTTCTTACCATGTGTGAGTGCCGAGTTCAGTGGCATTGGGGACATTCACAGTGGTGTTCAGCCATCACTCAAACATTCACCCAGACTGAAACATTGGCCCCACCAAAGCCTGGCACCCCCTGCCCTCTCCCAGACTCCAGTGAACACCATTCTTCTTTCTGTCCGTACAATTTTATTGACTCATCAACCAGAGCGAAAGCCTGTTCTAGAGCTGGAAATCCATCTGGAAGCCCGTTTTCCCTGACATGAGGCTCCTCCAGGGAAATCCCAGTCCCTTGGGGACCATTATCCCAATACTCTGATAGCCAAGGAGGCGGGCACGAGAGTCTCTTTAGAACATCTCTGCTCCTCCAGGACAGTTATTAGAGTGCCCCATGATGGGATCTCACGGACCCTTGGTGCCCACCCTCCCCTAAGCAAGAGCTTCCCAACTCGGATCTACCTTTCTGGGTCTGGCTTCCTGCCCTTTTCAGACTTGGAGCGCTGGCTAAAGCAAGTGGCAGTCAAGGTTATAAG